TGGAACTGTTAGATGCGCAAGCGTAGCGCTTGCGACAAGTTAGCCCACCCCCCTAACTTCCTCTCGAAGCGCCTTACTAGGACGCTGGGCGCCCACGGATTTTCATCCACCGACACCCGCTCGAACCGTTCCCGCCCACAGTTCGATATGTTCCTGTGTCGGATTGGGTGATCAGCTGTGCTCTCTCAAAGTTCTTTCCCCTCTCCACTACTCACACCATTTTTTATTTCGCAGCTTGCCTCCATGACTTCTCCGCAGCGTAGAGCAAGAAGGTATGCACTTCCTAAGTTTAAATTTCTTCCTTTTTCCCCAGTGATGGTCCACTTTCTTCTTCGATTTGGTTTACCACATTACTACCTACCAGACGACAGGGGTTTTCTTGCGTGCGCCGCCACACAGGGTAGGAATTGTATAGGCTTAGGCCGACGTTAGAAATTGCGAATCGAGCGATTTCCCTCGTTTATCACCGAACATGGACTTTCGCAGAACTTGTAAACAAATCAGCACTTTTTGGGAAGTACCCGTCCAGCAACTTCCAAATCTTTTTTCAGATTGAAGAATTTGCCCGTTCCGAAGAAACTGTTGTTTGCTTGGATACATGTACCGTTTTCAGCATGTTCTCCTAGTAGATAAGCTGATTCAAGGCCAACGCATGCGCTGAAAGAGCAGCCACATCCCTTCTCGTATCTTAAAGTTTACCCTCGACTCCACGCTTGAGCTTGGATGTTGATCTCGTAAGCGGAAAATATCACGACGGAGATGCACGCGTAGCCAGGGAAAGGAAGTTCCCGAAGGCTGCTGGGAGGCGAGTCTGGTTTTATCATATTTAACTCATACAGCTTTTAGTGGGAGGATGTGATGGTAAGGCCATAGCTTCTGTGGAACGCCTCGATCCAAGAGAATCAAATCCTGCTTGGCAGAGCGTTGCTCCCATGAGTACGAAAAGGCAAGGTCATCACATTTTAAGGCTACTCTGATGCTCATGAACATTTTCTTTAGGGACGGAGTTGGTGTAGCTGTCTTCGACAACTTTCTCTTACGCTGTTGGTGGCCACGATGGAAATACGTGTTTGAAAAGCAGTGAGAGGTACGACCTGCTCATTTGCAGATGAAAAGGACTATAATAAAGTCTGATTTGCTGATTATTAACATAAATGCTCGATTCATTGGAATGCTTCAGATTCGATCCCGCTACTGAAGCATGGTCGAGCGACATAGCTCCCATGGC